GTGCTCCATTTTAAACCAACATTAAGACAAGACAGACAATACGCTAACTAAGAATAGTACAATATATACATATATATACATACATACATACATAAGTCACTTATAAATAAATATTTGGAAAAGAAACATGTGTAGCTGTAGCAGCAAACAGTGTGTTAAGTGGATGCGTTGTACAGGGAGATGGCCACAGGCAGGAATGATTTCCTGTGTCGTTCAGTGGTGCTTTTCGGTAATCTCAGTCTCTCACTGAACGAGCTCCTGTGACTGGGGCGTTTGGTACGCCGCGTCTATCGCGTTCGGTGTGAACACATCGTAACACGATTAACAATTAACCCACCTGGAGTGCAGACACAGTCAAAATCTCAGTCAGGGAGTTTCTGCGAATAACGACGTTAATCATGATGCCCGCGTTAACTCAGTATTAAAGTGATTAGCACTGCCCTATTTTTTTTTAGGGGGGGAATAGTTCGTCCATGTTTGGATTTCTGTGTTGTAAATGCATAAATCAGTCTGCGCATGCATGAATATATTGCCCATCGTCGATTATTGGACTGAAGATTGTTGGTTGGAAAATTTTTACATATTGCCCAACCCTAACACAGACTGAAATAAACATACTGAAAACCAGGTCTGTCGTCAAGAATGTCCTCTCTTTATCAACAGTCGGAATTCGTTCAAGTCTCTTTTTGGCAAAATACCAGCAACAGGGAGAGTTAGCCCACCATGCAGAAAGACTTTTTCAGTATATAGAAGCATTATAACCAAGGGCGTTGTCAGGGTTCCTGGGTCGTTGACCCAGTGATTTCAGTTTGTTCATGTTCAGTTTAGTTCGCCACATTAATGTTCTCACTTCCTGTCTTTTCCCCGTGTCAGCTTGTCCCCCGTGTCATTAGTCAGATTATGTTCAGCCCTGTACTCGCCTGTTTCCAATCACTGTCATCATTCAACCTGTGTATTTAGTTCCTCTGTTTCACCAGTTCTTTGTCGTGTCATTGATGTACATGTGATGATGTCGTTCCTGTCGTGTGTTCAGTTCAGTTCAGTCAGCCAGCCATTCAGTCGTCCAGCCAGCCAGCCATTTTCTACCTCTGTTCTGTTCATCCACTCCTTATAATAAACCTTCACCAGTCTTCACCTACCTGCGAGTCCTGCGTTTGGGTTCCTTCCTCCTCGCCTCCACACAACGCCTGACAGGCGTAGATTTGGTTTTGGCATTGGTAGGGACGGATGATTCAACCAACAAACCCTGCCCTGTTTCTTTTTTCCCCCTTTTTGTCTTTGCTTCTTGATAAAAAAGGAGAAATATACTTGCCTACATATGCTATTCTACATGCTTTTAAACCATTTAAAATTACAATTCATAGTTTTATATGTGAACTATATAATGTTAAATTTAACTAAGTATTTTAGACTTTAGTTTAAAACCAGCTCATAACCATAACCAGCTCATGTCTGCCTCTTGGCAGACATGAGCTGAAACACAGGAATCAAACCAGGGACGCTGCTGTTATGGAGCTGAACTGGAACCATTCAGACACTGAGGCCCTCTGAACACATTTTAATTACAGCTGTGCAGAGACACACTGATGACTGACTGGAACACTATGATTCACATTTTACATTAACACCATCCTCACACATGGTTTATATTTGGCCACTAGAGGGAGATGTTTATACATGTGTATTGACAATTTTATGTTTAACTGTACATAAAGATTGACTTAATGAAAAGATTTTGCCAGGATGTTGTTGAAACAGTCTGTGAAAATCTTGAGTTTCAGAAGCTTCTAGATTAGGCTGTAATACTTCTAATATAAACATCCATCGATCCACTTTCTTCCGCTTACCTGGGGCCGGGTCGACGGGTGGAGATATAATCTCTCAAGCGTGTCCTTGGTCTGGCCCGGGGCCTCCTCCCGTGGGACTGGCCCGGAACACCTCACCCAGAAGGCATCCTTGTCAGATGCCCGAACCACCTACACTGGCTCCTTTCGATGTGGAGGAGCAGCGCCTCTACTCTTAGCCCCTTCCAAATGGCCAAACTTTTCACCCTATCTCTAAGAGAGAGGCCAGTCACCCTTCGGAGGAAGCCCGACCGCAATCTTGTTCTGTCGGTCACTACCCACAGCTCGTGACCATAGGTGAGGGTAGGGACATAGATTGACCGGAAAACTGAGAGCTTTGCTTTCACACTAAGCTCTCTGCACCAGGTCTGTCCAGCGTTCTCCCCCGCTACCTGATCCAACTCACCACCAGGTGGTGACCAGTTGACAAGTCATCCCCTCTCTTTACCTGAGTGTCCAAAACATATGACCTTAGGTCTGGTGATACGATTACAAAATCGATCATCGACCTGTGGCCTAGAGTGTCCTGGTGCCATGGGCACTTATGGACACTCTTATGTTCGAATATGGTGTTCTTTATAGCCAAACTGTGGTTTGCACAGAGGTCCAATAACAAAACGCTGCTCGGGTTCAGATCTGGGAGGCCGTTCCTCCCAGTCACAGAAACCCCAACATACAGCAGCAATCCGAGGGGATACCAAAATACCCACCCCAGCCCGTTGCTTCTCACCAGGGACAACTCCAGACTGAGACAAAGTCCAGCCCCTCTCCAGGAGGCTGGTTCCAGAGCCCAAGCCATGCATTGAGGTGAGCCCAATTATATCTAGCCAGTACCTCTCAACCTTACTCACTAACTCAGGCTCTTTCCGCACCAGAGAGGTGACATTCCATGTCCCAATTGCCAGTCTTGGTAGCCGGGGATCAGTCCGCCAAGACCTCTGCTCCTGGCTGCCGCCTGGCTCACAATGCACCCGACCCCTACAGTGCCTCCTGCAGGTGGTGGGCCTGCAGAAAGATGGGCTCATGTCCCTTTTTCGGGCTGTGCCCGGCCTGTCCCCATTGACTAAGGCCCGGCCACCAGACGCTCACCCTCAAGCACCCTACCCTGGGCCTGGCTCCAGGGTGGGGCCCGGTAACCCTATCCCGGGAAGGGTAAACTATTCCCTCGATAGTCTTATCATAGGAGTCTTCTGAATCGCTCTTTGTCTGGTTCCTCACCCAGGACTAATTTGCCATTGGAGACCTTACCAGGGGGAAAAGCCCCCAGATAACATAGCCCCTGGGATCCCTGGGACACACAAACCCCTTCCCCACATGAATAATTTTTAATTAAGAAAAATGAAATTAAAAATTAAAAACTAATAATGATAAAATAGCACATATCTTGCTGTTATTTCATGATACCCTTCTATTCATTCCACTTAATCTTTCTTTAGCATGAATGTAAAATGTAACCTAAACCTATACATAGGTTACATTGGTTTTATAGTCTAACTAGTGGATCTCAAAATGTTTAACTTTTGTTATAAAGCAGTAGCTCTGCTGTAACCTGTTTTACCAAAAGGTTGCAGCACACTTCAAAATAGGATTTGTGACCGTTTCAAACTTGTCTGAGCTCCGTGCTGGTTCAGGAGATCCACTCTGGGTCACATGTTCATGAGTTTGTTACTTATCAATAAACACTAAGCTCTCTCTGTCTATATTTTATTATGCTCAAGCACAACTCAAAATAGTTTATAAACGTCCAACCTAACATGTAAAGATTACTTTAGTTTATATCAATTACAATCAATATATTTAAAAAATGTGGAGATGCAAGGATTCATATCTTTGAAGCTGCTACCAGAGTTCTGTTTTGTTTCTCTCATCTGCCTAAAATTAAGAGAAAAAAATACAATTAACGATACACAGTACAATGAGAGTTTATCAGCTAATTTCTTAGTGACACAGAAAAATTATGACATTTATTTCCTCAGTCACATACTCTTAGTACTAACTAGTGATGGTTACCGGTATCAGGTTGCCATAAACAGTAGTAACCAGACCGAAAAGCAGTGCACATTTCGGTGCTTTATTTCTGTGCTTTTTTTTTCCTGAGATGCCATACACTTTGGATTCTAGCCAATCATTTTACCTTTGCGAGGATAGTAGGCGGGCCGAGGTATGTACATTCTTTTAGAGTAGATCTACAGATTAAAAATGCCCAAGGCAAAGTGTTCAAAAGTCTGGCTGTACTTCACAGCAAAAGATGCAAACTCAGCAGCCTGCAACAAGTGCTTTAAGCTAATACTGCGATACTGTGCAAAGGAGGTAACACCTCGAATCTGATGACAAACCTGGCGACACATAGCATTTTTTAAAAGCTGACAAATGCATCGTATTTGATAGCTTGCTGCGAGACCTCACATTAATCCTACAACTGTTCATAACTTGCATAGTTCACATTTCTGTATAACTGTATATCTCATATTTCTGTATAGTTTTTATTTGATATTCTGTATAGTTTTTCATATTTATATCCTGTTCATAGCCTGTACATAGCTTGTACTCACTACAGCCTGTACATACTTGTAGTTATAGCATATTCATAACATACTTCATACCGTGTACATTATAACATACCATAATAGACCCATTTCTGTAATATACTTACACATCTATATTATTGCTAATATATATTGTAATATATCTATATCACTAAAGCACTTCTGGATGGATGCACACTGCATTTCGTTGCCCTGTACCTGTGACATGTGCAATGACAATAAAGTTGAATTCTATTCTATTCTATTCTTTAAGCACCGGTTCGAGCACTGTTTAAGCACCGGCACTATTTCAAAAGTACCGTTTTGGCAATGATATTGGATATAACCTAAACGATACCCATCCCTCGTACTAACCTCATCTTTTTAGGTTACATTCATAGAATTTTGCTGCCATTCCAGTTACATGCTTATGCTTTCTTTTCTCCAGTGAAAGGCGTGTATTTGTTAGCCACAACTACATTGGGAGAAGCCCAATTTTCCATATGACACTTTGGTGAAACCCACAGAATCACATGGAGAAAACAAAATGGAAAAAAAGTTTTATTAATCTCACAGAGAAACTAGGTTTAAAACTCTGCTAAAAATACATCTTATTTGAAGTGGCTAAATAATTGGAAAAAGAAGATATAGAATGCATAATACATATAATTCTTTGTAACATGTGGATCTCCTTTGGTCTGATGTGCTGGGGGGACCAGTTAAAGACCAGCAGCTGGACGTCAGTGGTTGGACTGTTAGACTACTACTGCTGGACTGGTAGTACAGAGTAGACGACGTCTGGCTCTAGTTCAATGTCTGAACACAAACACACATACAGTTCAAACAACAGAAAACATGATTACACACTTTGTAGTTCAGTCAAGATCTCCAATCGCCACCTCACTGCATCATCCACAGTCCCAGTTCAGACTTTACAGGGAACCAGCTGCTTTATAAAAGATTAAAATGTGCAAAGAACAAACCTGAAACGAACAGATCTGTAGCAATTAGCTTATGAAAAGCATTAAATGACATTAAAAAGCCATATAGTCACTGTTTCCACATTTTCAATCATTTTCATTGATTGTCCAAAATACTGTGTTGTCATCTATTGATTCAAAAATCAAGAAAATGGCAAATTAGGTCAGATAGAGGGCCGTTATTGTCTCAGGAAGTGCAGGGGATTAGTAACAAGGATGTGAGGGCAACTATGAAGGATCAAGTTTATATAAAGAGCTGGTAACTATGTGAAAGTACATCTTATCACCATGTTACAGAGAAATGCTACAGTAATAGAAGCATTGTACAGTAACTAGTGTAACAAATTCATTTCTTTGGGAGTCATTACTTAACTCAAAACAATTAATGTTAATGTTTAATTTGAGCATTCACCAGAAGAACAGGTATTGACTTTAACAACAAAAAAATAAATAAAAAAAATAATGGATTGCATTTATATAGCGCTTTTCAAGGCACCCAAAGCGCATTACAATGCCACTATTCATTCACTCTCACATTTACACACTGGTGGAGGAAGGCTACAGTTGTAGCCACAGCTGCCCTGTGGCGACCTTCCGGTTATAGATGCGCTTCCCAACCCACTGAGCCACAGTCGCCCCTAAGAACTTTACTTATTTATTTATTTTTTACCTCAACAAATTCGTATTTATTAAAAAATTATTATTACTTTTTAGCTACATGTTAATAAAAACCTGAGAGCTTTCAGTTTCACTTGCATAGTGCAAGATATTTCTTAACGCATATTTATAATGCTTACTTCTGTGATTGAAAAACTTTAGAGGAATTGTTTGAAATGGCAGGAAAAAAGACTGAAAATAGTCTGGAAACAAGCAGCTCACTCGGCTGTGTTAAAAATAAGGAGGCGCTGTACCTCTGGTCCTCTTTGGTGTGGCTTGTGTCCTCACTGATGAGTAGATTACAGTTGAATCACTCACTGCACAAACAAACAAAAATGATTGCATGTACAATGATGACAGTATTGTTTTATTATTACACTATAGCTGTAACAGTACGGTTTTATTTTGGGTTATGCAGAAATTAAAATTATACACAGATGTGGGTTTTCACAGTTGTTGTTTTTTTCCCACTTCTTACCACCTCTGCTGAAAAACATCTTACCAGACAGAAGTGGTGAGAATAGGAGGCAGACGACCACAAAGCTGCCGTTTTCTTTTAATACAGACTGAGATGCTTCACCACAGAGCACAAAGCAAACGTGTTCTCACAACATGAACACGTCTGTTAGCCAAACCAGGACACACTGTGGTGAGATGTCTGATCAGTCTCAGACTACAGTTAACTGGTGTCAACAAAAAGAAGTTGCTTTAGTGGTTTCACAGAAAGAAGTCAAAAGTAAATATTATATATACACACACACACACACACACACACACACACACACATATATCAGGGTGTCTGTTTCCAGTAAGGTTCCCTATGATAGTTCCCCCCATGCTAACCGAACATACCTGAGGTATGAACAAGAGACAGATAACAGAAGCCATACCAGCTTGGGCGTCACCCGCATTACCAAGAGCTGTGTCAGGTGTTGAGAAACCAGGACACACTGATGAGAAGCTGACTACTGGAATAGGAAGGCACAGAAAAAGGGATGAGAAGAGGCCACTGTTGGCCCCAGAGGAAGGTGTAACATGAAGAGCATGAGGAAAATGTGGACCCTTCGATACCCAACATCTACACTAATGGCAAAACAGCTAGTGTCTCACAATATTACCGGTATGGTTTTTAATTGGCTGTTTTTCACTATGTGATGTATTTCTGTTCCTCTACATGATGTTGTCTGTGACATTATTTTCTGAATCTTTGTTTTGAGCTGCTCTAATGATCCAAATTTAACACCAAAGTTCAGATAAAAATGTCAAAAAAATCTATATTTGTCATTTCTAACAATCAGCATCAAGACATGCAAGCAATAAGACATTTCCACTTAATAAATGTTTTGATTTTTCACCAAACCAAAAGCATGCATTTGAAATCTAGATAGGTCTAGGTCTCACCTTTAAGATGTTTGTGAGCATATCGTCTCACCAGTAACACCAGTAGAACCACAACACAGACTGATCCAACACATGACAACACAGAGAGAACAGCAGGAGAGGTGGATGTAGGTGGAGGTGTGGTGGTGTGTTCCCCTAAAATAAAGCAAACACAGTCATTAAGTTGTCGTCACATTGTGAATGTTGAAAGCTGCAGAAACACAGACAGGTGAGTGTGTCACCTGTGACAGTGATCCAGCTGGATGGAGACTCTCCATGACCGCTGATGTCACACTTGTAGAGGCCTTCATCAGACCTGGAAACATGCTGGATGGTCATGTGACCTGTAGGCTGCTTCCTGATGAGGGAGCCATCTTTATAGAAAGCAGCTGGGAGGTTGGAGGGAGTGGTCTTTGTTTTACAGAGCAGAGTGACGTCATCTCCCTCCATCACAGGGAGGACAGGACTCTGCAGGATCACTGATCCACCTCAACACAGAGACAAACTACAGCATTTTATCCATTTACACACAGCTTCATCAACACTAACTCCACACACTCAGCTTACCAGTGACTGTCAGCTTAACCATGTTACTGATGGGACCCTCTCTGGACTCACACCAGTAAACTCCACTGTCATATGGGAATACAACAATGTTACAGGTAGGAGCAGCTGATGTTCCCCACCCATCTCCACACTGAGTCCTCTGTTGTTTGCTTGTGTTTCTCCTCAGAGTCCATCCAGCAGAGCTGTCGTCCTCCTCACAGCTCAGATACACAGATCGATCTTCAAAGAACTGAGAGCTGCTGGGACTCACAGTCAGACGAGCTATGAGGGTTAAATTTAAAAACTGATGATTACTTGTACTTTTGTGAGAACAATGGCATAATTATTCCCTCACTGCACTGTGCAATAACCCAAACTGTGTATACAAAACACTTTTTATTTGTATATTTAGTTTTTGTTTACACCAGATTGCATATTTGTACAATTTATATAATTTCTTCAGTTGATACTGTTCATTTGTATACAGTGATGCAGAACTGTGCATCCCCCTCCCCCTACATGTTTACACTGAAAAGGAGATGCTCAATATCTGATTGTACATAGTGACAATAAAGGCATTCTGTTCTATTCTATTTCATCAGTTTCAGATGTGAGCTCCACTGTGAATATATGGACCCAATCAGGTCATATCAGTGAGCATTTCTCAGGTTTAAACTGTGACAGAAGAAGGTTACTGACCTTGGTTTGTTGTGCAGCTCAGCAGTGAGATCAGAACTAAAGAGAAATGACACTCAGGTTGATTTGAGGTGAACATAAAGAACAACAAACAAACTCGTCTCTCTGTGATATATCTGCTCATTTTTAAATTAACGCTCGTAAAAAGAGAAAGGACAATGTTTAAAGTTGAACAAACAAAAAAAGGAACATCTGGTAGGAGAACATCCATCTTCTCTACTAAATTTGGATCTTTGGGTCTACAGAGCCCAACTGTCACTCGCTTACCATGACATTGGACCAGTAACATCTGAAATGTTACTGGTCCAATGCAGGGTTAACACATAAAACAAATCCATGATTAGCCTGAAATGTTAAGTGAACATGTTTTAACATTTTACATCAAATTTAAAATCTGACACAGAGATTCTACTTACAGAGCAGACACAGCACAGATGTTTCCTTCATCGTCCTTCTCACTCATTTGAGCTTTTTTTCATTTCTCTCACTGACACCAAGTAAAGCCCGCCCTCTTCCTCTGAGCACCAGGTTTTCTATTGGTTCAAGACATAGTGAGTGGTCAGTGTGTGTGTGTGTAGCCAGCACAGGCCCAAACTGCTGTACAATAAATACATTAAGAACTATAGCATAAAAGGAACCATTAAAAAATAAAACAAATAATACATACAAATTAAAACAGCCCTGTATTTGAAAAAAACAAGATATTACAACACAGAATCAGCAAAAATTACAAAAATAAAAATAAACTAAAACCAACATCTCATATGTTGTCAAAGGCCAAGGTAAAGAGATTGGTTTTCAGAAGTGATTTAAAAACAGGCAGAGAAGAGGCCTGTCTAATCTCTAAAGGGAAATCATTCCACAGCTTTGGAGCAGCTACAGCAAAAGCACAATCGCCTCTAAGTTTACGCTCAGTCTTGGGTACATTCAGGAAAAGCTGATCAGCTGACCTGAGATACCCGGTGTATAAGGCTGCAAATAAAATAATTTTAAAATGAATCCTAAAAGAAATGGGTAGCCAGTGAAGTGAAGCTAAAACACGGAAAATGTGTTCAAACTTTCGAGTTCCATTTAAAAGATGAGCTGCAGCATTTTGCACCCTCTGTAGATGAGTACCTGTTACGGCCCTAGCAGGGCCTCCTCCTGAAGGTGCCTGTGTGGGCGTGTCCCACCACCTCTTCTACCTGAGGTGCCACCTTTCCCTTTTGTGCAGCTGACTCTCATCAGTAATTAAAAGTATTTAAGCCCAGGGAAAGGTGAGCTCTGGGCCAGATTGCCATTAGTGTGTTTGCAGCTAGTGAGCTGTGTGTTGTGTGGTTGCAGCTAGTGAGCTGTGTGTTTGTAGCTAGTGAGCTGCTCTCTTTTTGACTTACTTTTTACTTTATTGACCAACACTTGAGTTTTGTTTGTTTTCCTTAAATGGTGATAGCGGCTTGTCCGTCTCTTTTAGTTGAGCTACTTTAATAAAAGTCTTTAATTTAACCCTTTTGCCTCCTTGACTCCTTTTTCTGACCCGGACACTTTTTGTTACTTCCCTCTCACTGCCTGGACCCTTTTAGGGGAACGTAACAGTACCGTATTTTTTGGATCATAAGGTCACCAGCGTGTAAAGCGCAAAAAACAAAAAAGTCAAATTTTACTCAACTAATTCTTCTTGCTTCCTCCACTTCTGTACCATTGATCCATTAATGTTGAATTCTCTCGCAGCTGCTCTCTTCCCATGTTGCTGCAGTATATTAATGACTAACCTTGTATTGTGGATGGATTATCTCAGTTGTTCTCCTGACTGAAGTTTGGTCCGTTTACAGCATCCTGTAATTACCGATGCGCTTCCCAAGTTCACCCTGCCATTTAAGACCTGAACCACTCCAGTCCTGTTCCCCTAATGCCCACCCAATTTTCCAAATGAGAGAGTAAAATGGCATGATCCACTGTATCAAACGCAGCTGAAACACAGGAATCAAACCAGGGACGCTGCTGTTATGGAGCTGAACTGGAACCATTCAGACACTGAGGCCCTCTGAACACATTTTAATTACAGCTGTGCAGAGACACACTGATGACTGACTGGAACACTATGATTCACATTTTACATTAACACCATCCTCACACATGTTTATATATGGCCACTAGAGGGAGATGTTGGACTTTAAATACTAACATGCTCAGCATGTTCTGCTCCTAATATAATGGTAGAGTTTTAAATAATTTTGAATAAAGATGAATAAGACCGTGCCTGTTCTTCCTGATCATGCTTTAATTCCTTGAATGTAAAATGAAGAACAGTAATTCCAGAACACAGTGAACAATGCATATACTATTATATATTGTACATATATTTATTAGTTTCAGATGTAGCCATTCTTGTATTTTGCTTGTTTACGTTATTGTACTTTGCACAACTCTGTTGCTTGTGAAGCTCGAACACAAGAATTTCACTCACATGTACTGTACCAATGTACCTGCACATGTGATGTGACAAAAGTGATTTGATTTGATTTTGATTTGACATCCTTTGCTTAAAACCCTGAAACATCACTTGACTATCGGAGTTAGACAAAGCTAGTTAAACTTCATCAATGTCAGTCTGCTCAATAGGAAAGTATTGTTTGTCATTTTCACCTGTTTTGGAACAAAAGAAAGTGCTGCAATCACAAGACAACCTCCAAGGGCCAATGGTTTATTACCATACTTTAAGAATGTAGTGTAGTTTTTCTTCTTATAAGTCCTCTTGTCATCAGATATCTTCATGAGATGAGTACCTGCAGTCCACCAAGGTTTTTCAGGTAGTCCAACTGTAACGGAGGCGGAAGGCTGGTTTTACTTCCACAGTGATTTTGTGCGAAGGAAGGAAACCTTCCTCCAAACGGATTGAGCAGTGGAGCCGCCAAGGGAAAGCACACATTAAAAACTGTATGATTAAAATATAATTTATTATATTTAAATAGTTAAAAATGCCTCCCCGGGAAAGTCTATGCCAGGGTGCTGGAGAGGAGGGTTCGTCCGCTAGTCGAACCTCGGATACAGGAGGAACAATGCGGTTTTCGTCCTGGTCGCGGAACACTGGACCAGCTCTTTGTCCTCTCGAGGATACTTGAGGGTGCATGGGAGTTTGCCCAACCAGTCTACATGTGTTTTGTGGACCTGGAGAAGGCATTCGACCGTGTCCCTCGGGGCGTCCTGTGGGAGGTGTTGCGCGAGTATGGGGTGTCTGGCCCATTGCTACGGGCCATTCAATCCCTATACAACCGTTGCAAGAGCTTGGTTCGCATTGCCGGCAATAAGTCGGACTCGTTCCCGGTGGGTGATGGGCTCCGCCAGGGCTGCCCTTTGTCTCCGGTTCTGTTCATAATTTTTATGGACAGGATTTCTAGGCGCAGCCAAGTGGCGGAGGGCTTTCGCTTTGGTGGCCTCAGAATCTCATCTCTGATTTTTGCGGATGATGTGGTTCTGTTGGCTTCATCGGGTGAGGGCCTCCAGCTCGCACTGGAGCGGTTCGCAGCCGAGTGTAACGCAGCGGGAATGAGGATCAGCACCTCCAAATCTGAGGCCATGGTTCTCAGCCGGAAAAGGGTGGAGTGCCCACTCCGGGTCGGGGATGAGTTCCTGCCCCAAGTGGAGGAGTTCAAGTATCTCGGGGTCTTGTTCGCGAGTGATGGGAGAAGGGAGCTGGAGATCGACAGACGGATTGGGGCTGCGGCTGCAGTAATGCGGACGCTGCACCGGTCAGTCGTGGTGAAGAGGGAGCTGAGTGTAAAAGCGAAGCTCTCAATTTACCGGTCGATCTACGTCCCTACCCTCACCTATGGCCACGAGCTGTGGGTAGTGACCGAAAGAACGAGATCGCGGATACAAGCGGCGGAAATGAGCTTCCTCCGAAGGGTGGCTGGCCTCTCCCTTAGAGATAGGGTGAGAAGTTCGGCCATCCGGGAGGGGCTCAGAGTAGAGCTGCTGCTGCTCCACATCGAAAGGAGCCAGCTGAGGTGGTTCGGGCATCTGGCAAGGATGCCCCCTGGGCGCCTCCTGGGCGAGGTGTTCCAG